TGCTTTGTTCTTTTGGAGATAGAATTAATTCATTCTACTATCATTTTTTGCTTGCCTGCTGTCAGTTTTCCTCTACCTCCCCCTTCAAAATCCCTTGTTCCTGTCAGAGTGGGAAAGGGACCTTTGAGGTCTTCTGGTTCAGAAATGTCAAACTTAGCCTCTGGAGTGCTGCCCAAAGGAGGTTAAAATGTAATTGAGAAATCTTTAACAAAATAAATAAAAATACAGCACAGCATAGATAATGTTAATTTGTGGTTTTCTAAGTCAATATGAAATTGATTCCACTGGACTATAGTTCCAACCCTAGTCTTTTTACATGTAAGAAGTCATAAGCCCTAGAAGGGCTTCCCCAAGAAAGGAAATAACTTTCATAAGATCATCTAGTTAGTTAAAAGCAGAACCCAAAACCCTTCCTCCACCCTCAGCTACCTTCTGCTCCCTCCTTGGGGCTTGGCGTCATTTCTCTAATCACACATCCTGTGTTCTCAGGGGCCCCTGCTGTCTTGGGCAGTAAACGCTACAGGTTTGGTTGTTTGTTAGACCTCCTGTGATCTGAAGCAAATCATTTAAGCTCTTTGGTATACCTTTCTCTAAAGTGAAGGTGGCAAACACTTGCTCTCTGCAAGACCTCACGGTTGTGGACATCACCAATCATTTTTTTAGGGACTATGTTTTGAGGTATGATCTTTGGTGCATCATTAACTTGCTTCTGATACTTGGGCTCTTAGGGCATCATAGAATGTCAGCTTGGAGATCATCTAATTCGAATCCCTCATTTAACAGAGTGGGAAACTGAGGCCCAGGGAAGCAAAACCACTTGTTGAAGGTGGCATAAAAAGTTAGTCATGGGGCTGAGACCAGAACTCAGATTTCCTGGTAACCAGTCCAGTATTGAAATCTCGACTCTCTTTCTTCCCATTCTATTAATTTAATATGGTCTCAGCACTGGTGCCATGATGACTGTGGAAAATTACCTGGGTTTGTAGCAGGGGAACAGGAGTAATCAGAAAGGTTTTGCATCTGGGAAATATCCCAGGATCACAGGCGGTTCAAATCTTTGAGTCTGGGGAAACTGAAATCCATTTAGCAAGATATTTCATCTCTGAGTCGTTCTTTCCTCATTGGTCAGATGGAAGGGTAGGACTATATCAAGGGTTCTTAACTTGGGGTGCTGGGAACCCCAAGGGGTCTGTGGATAGATTTTGTGACCTCATGTGGGCAAAACATGACATTTTAATTTTCGCTAACCTCTAATTGAAATTTGGCATTTCTTTTTTCAGAAAATTTTTATTCATTTTAAACTTCAATACAATATGGGAAAAGAAAAAAGAACATTTCTATGTATACAACAGAACACAAGAGAGGATTCAATATAAAACAATAAATTTCCATTTCAAGAAAACCTATGTAATAAATACTACACATTGTTTTCAAAGTTGCCCACCTTTTCTTTGCTTCCTTGTTGGTTTTCTTCTGTTTTCTGCTGTGCACTTTTTACTTTATTCCCTCCCCACTCCAAGAAGACTACAATTAAACTCAGATATGTGTGTGTATGTGTGTGTGTACATACATGTACATACATACATACACATGTATACACAGATATCTATAAACATACACACATGTAAACATACATACTCTCTACACTCATACACATATATGTAAGACCATACTATGCTTATTTCCACTTGTCATCTGCTTCTCTGGAGGCAAATAGCATCATTCTTCCTAGGTCCAAGTCTTCCCATGTTTTTTCTAAATCAATCAGTTCATCATTGCCTATATCACAGCAGGATTCCAACACAATCACATCCTATCTGCAAGATTGTCCATGAAAGTTTTTCCCAGCATTTCTTTCAATTATGAATGTGGGCAACCAGCATAATTCAGAAAAGGGGCATATAGTCTTCCTCAGTCTGTCAAAGAGATCAAGGATACAAAAAAAGATTAAGAACTCTTGGACCCAGACCATCTCTATGGTGCCTTCCATATTAAAATTCTCATTGATGAAATCTTTGGGTTTTCAGTTTAAGAAACACTTATTACTCAACTACTGTATACGGTGCTTTGTGCTAGGCACTGGGAGACACATAGTGAAATAAGCCTAGTGTATACCCCACAAGGAGCATACACAGGAAGGTGAGTGTCACACTTTAAGGGAGCTGCTGTAGGAAGACCCAGATATTTACCAGAAGAAGCGAAACCAGCCAGTGATGCTGAAAGCAACAAGCTTCTCATGTTTCTTATGGGTACATTTGACCTTCCATAAGGGAAGGCCCTTACCTTGAGGCACTGGTAAGAACTGGAGAGGGGCAGGAATGAGGGAGCAAGGACACCATTGAACACCCAGCAGGGCTGGATTCTTTCACTGGGGGACTTAGGGCCTTGGGTGAGATGACCTTGAAGCCATGGGCAGGAGGAGGAAGGGGATGGATGATCAATCAATCAATCAATTAGCAAAGCATTTTTATTCAGTGTCTGTTATGTGCCAGGACCTATGTTAGTCACTGAGATCTTATATATATATATATATATATATATATATATATATATATATATATATGAAATAAAGACAAAATGAAACAGTTGCAACCCTTAAGGAGCTTACATTCTAAGGGGAGGCAATAAGTACAAATAGAAGTCTATGCAAACTATTGTTGCTGTCTGTCCTTCTTGAAGAGAACCATGGCATCAGGATGCCATGACTTGCAAGTGAATTGGATTTAAGTGAGGGAGGGCTGTGCAAAGTCATCAGCCTCACTTTCTCCTCTGGAGTCATCAGGGTTCAGTGGCGAGATATAGATCAGGACGACTGGCGATGGCCTCGGATGATGTAAACTATATCTGATATATGGACTCCAGCCCAGTGGTGCCCTCTGAAGCTGATGCCCAGCTTGTGCCAATTTACTGTGATCACCCTTGGGTCAGTGCCATGAAACAGGGTCCTTCCGCCCTGGGGCAGAGCACCAGGAGTTTTAGAGAGAGAGGGGAGGGAGTCTTAACTCTGGTCCATCTGGTATCATATCATCATCGTCATCATCATCATCTCATTTGATTGTCATGGCAACCTTAGAGGAAGCATGGTATAGTGGGAAAGAGGACTGGCTCTAGAATCAGAGGACTTGAATTCAAATCTTCCCTCTGATATTTTACCTGGGTGAGGTTGGGTATGTTACTTGGTCTCTATGGACCTCAAGCTCCTCATCTGTAATATCAAAGAGCTGGGCCTAATGGCTTCTGGGTTCCCTTCCATTGTCAGAGCTGTGATCCTGGGATCTGATTGGTTTCCCGCCTCTGATGTCATAAGCAAGTGGGTGTCAGCTAGGAAGATAAGGGGGAGTTCCAGAAAAGGGATAGGACAATAACAATAGCAAATAACAACAATAATAGTAACTAGCATTTATATAGCATTTTAAGATTTGCAAAGTGCTTTACGTACATTGTGTCCTTTGACCTTATCAACAACCCTATCAAGAAGGTGCCATTCTTGTCCCCAATTTCAGCTGGGAAAACTAGGCTGGGAATGGTTACATGCTTTGCCCAGGTTCACACACCTCATAAGTGTCTGAGGCAGAATTTGAACTCAGATCTTCCTGATTCCCTGGTCTGTACTTTGTGACATCACCTAGCTACCTGGGGAGGAAGGAGTTATCACACAGGAGGACAGAACAGAGACAGCCTGTGATCAGAAAGACCAAGGCCAGAAAACCCAGAAGTTTTTCTGAATCACCACAGGGGGATAAACTGATCAATATAACGCAAATTAGAGTATGATTAAGTACATAATAAAAGCTGAAATTCGTAGGGCATCTATGTAAATTAGCATTTGAGTGCATATATACAGACACACATGCATACATATACACATTGATGACAGTCCCCCTGGTGTAGTGGATAGAGCTAACTTCAGAGCTAGGATGGCCTGGGTTCAAGTCTCATCTCTGAAAGATACCCTCTCTAGGCCTTAGGAAACTCTCTAAGATTATAAATTTCAGAGAAGATGCCTGTCTGCACCAGTGCAGAGAGTTTTCATACCTGGGAGTTCCCAATGTGAATAAAATCACAGTTCCTGTTCAGTTGTGTCCGACTCTTTGTGACCCTATTTGGGCTTTTCTTGGCAAAGATACTGGATTGATTTTTCATTTCCTTCTCCAGTTCATTTTACAGATGAGGCAACTGAAGCAAACAGAGTGAAATGACTTGCCCAGGGTCACACAGCTAAGTGTCTGAGGCTGGATTTGAACTCAGAAAGATGAGTCTTCCTGACTCCAGGCCTGGCACTCTATCCACTGCACCACCTAGCTTCCTGGTCCAGTTCCTAGCCAAGCCTATATACACACATATATACTTCTTATGTATATGTTTACATATTGTTCTCCCCAATAAGATGTATCCTCCTTAAGGGTAGGGACTATTTTGGGTTTGTCTTTTGTATCCTGGTATAGGGTAGAATCTTATACACAGTACATGTTTATGTGGAAATGAAATGCCTAATACGTGCGTCTAAAACATCAAGTGGGGATGGAGAGAGGTCCTGGGCTAGAGACATAGATTGGGGAGACATGTTGGTATTTTGAATGTGGAAATAGCTGACCTACCCAATGGAGAAGGGGGTTGGCTGGCCAATTCCAGGGAACATTGCCACTTTCCTTTTACAGGGAAAAAAATGTCAAGCATATCTACTCATACTCCCAGAGCTTGTGTTTGTGCTGTTTGGGAGAACACAATGAAGGATCAGATAAAATGCAGGGGAATCTGGTTCACATATCTCCATGAGAGAAGTATAACTAAGCCACATGTGTTGTAGCAATCTATTCCCAGAGTTGGCTTCTGGGCATCAGGGCACTAGCTGTCTTTGGGCAGCAGGCTTCCAGCCTGGGCCCCTTCCTGCTGGGCTTCCATGAGATTGGAGGGGGTCAAGACCTTGCTTGGCTCCCCCTCCCAATAACCAGTTACCACTCTCCACCTAATGAAGATCAATTTCTTGTTCTCTTTGTTAGCTGAGATGCCTCGACAGTTTCCCAAGCTGAACATTTCAGAGGTGGATGAGCAGGTGCGACTGCTGGCCGAAAAGGTGTTTGCTAAGGTGCTCCGGGAGGAAGACAGCAAAGATGCCTTATCGCTGTTCACTGTGCCCGAGGACTGCCCCATTGGGCAGAAGGAGGCCAAAGAGCGAGAGCTGGAGAAAGAGTTGGCTGAGCAGAAGTCCGTGGAGACGGCCAAAAGGTGGGTCTGATGGCCTCTTCTCATTGGCAGAGAAACATCTGCCAATCTACTCCGTCTTGTTATCTGTCTCAAGTACTGGAGCCTTTAAAAACAGACTGGCCCTGGACTCAAGCCTTTAGATTTATTTTGAAATGAGCAACACTAACCAGTTTTAAATCTGGTTGAAATGATCTAAAATCTTAATTCTCCCTGCTGCTTTATTAGCTGATTGGAGGTAGTGTGGTAGAGTGGGAAGGGTGTTGGAACTAGGAATCGGAGAAGGGAATTTCAGGCTTGGCTGTGCTCTTACCTGGGAGGCTGGGGAAAGGTCACTGTCCATCTGAATCTGTTTCCTCATCATGCTTCGATGTAGGATCATGGATTTAAAGCTAGAGGAATGTAGAGGTCATCTATCTCAACCTTGGCATTCTCCTTCTGTGGATCCTCCAGGCAGAAAGCATTTTTAAAGTGCTGACTATGTGCTAGGCACTGGGGCTTCAAAGAGTAAGAGAAATAGTTCCTGTCTGCAGGGACATGTACATATATAAGGCAGCTCATTACAGAGGAGAGGCACAGGATCTGGGTTCAAATCTTGGCTCTGCCATTTTCCACCCTTTGTAATCATGAATAAGTTGATTAATTTCTCTTGGCTTCGATTTCTTTAACTGTAAAATGAGGGGGTTGAATTATATGACTTTAGAGGTCGCTTCTGGCTCTAAATCTAGGATTCTATTTTCCTAAGTAAGGACAAGGTAATTTTACAGATAAGGAAACTGAGACCCCCAAAGAATTAAGTGACAAGTTCAGGGGCCCATTAAATAGGTAAGTGTCAGAGGCAGGATTTGAACCCAGGTACTCTCACTCCAGATCTGCTGTATCATATTGCCTTACCAGCATTTTTCCATCCACCCCAAAAAGTAGTCCTCTCCCTTCTTTCCCCAATATACTCAAATAAGCCTTTTCTATTATTCTTAGCATTCCTCTACGGATTCACTCCACTCTGAGCTTGTTGTGGCTTTCAGCCCCTTAGATGAGAGGATTCACTGGGATAGTTGAGCCAGCTGACTGGCCATGGGCATTTTGGGACAGCTAGCTGACACAGGGGTTAGAGCACTGGACCTGGAATCAGGAAGACCTGAGTTCAAATCTAGCCTCAGGCACTAACTGTGTGACCCTGGGCAAGTCACTTCACCTCTATTTGCCTCAGTTTGCTTATCCTTAAAATGAGAATCAGGATAGCACTTACCTCCTAGTGTTGTTGTGAGGATCAAATAAGATAATAATTGCAAATCACTTAGTACAGCTTAGTACAGTACTATAGTACTATAGTACATAGCAAGCACTATATAAATGTTAGCTGTTATTATTGTTGTTATTATCCCATTTTGGACTCAGGTTCAGAATTTTTACTTCCACCTTAGGTCCAAAACTTAAGTCATTGACAGAGCATTTCCAGTGTGACTTTAAGGACTTCAGGGAAATACAATCCACTTCTGGCTTTACTGTGGCCTGGTGAAGAGGAAGCTGAGATAGGAATTTGGTGCATCTTAGCAAAAAGAAAAAGAAGTTGAACATCTTGGGGACTGGTGCCAGGGAAAGAGGCTTGACTTTCTGCTGGAGAATTAGGGCCTGCACTTCTGAGACAATGACACCCAGGTTCACAGTGGACAGTGACCAGGGGCTACATTGGCACTTTTGACTTCATAGGGTACTGGATCATGAGCTAGGCCTTCTGGTCCAATACCCACCCCCCTTTTTACAGGTGTAACAAACAGGGCCTTTTTGCCTTTTTTTTTTTTCATGTGAGGCAATTGGGGTTAAGTGACTTGCCCAGAGTCACACAGCTGGTGAGTGTTATGTGTCTGAGGCCAGATTTGAACTTGGGTCCTCCTGACTCCAGGGCCACTACTCTATCCACTGCGACACCTAGCTGCACCTCCTTTTTGCTTTTGTTGAGGTCGGATCTGGGAGAGTGGTCCAAGGGTGAAAGAATTCACTTCAACATTCTTGGTAGCCAACGGAAGCCTTGTTAGCCAGAAGCTAATGAAAGGCCCTGATATTTGGGAGAACCAGGCTTATATAGGGGTTTCAGAATGATGATGAGGGTTTTTTATGGGGTTGAAGATTAAGGACAGGATAAGGACAAAAGGATGAGGAAGAAAGTTGCTTATAAGATAAGGAGGAATTTTGTGACACAGGATGAGGGAGATGGTTGACAGGATAAGGAGAACAGGGGGACACAGGATAAAAAAAAGCAATTCTTTTGGTCTTACAAGATAAGGAGAAGTCCTATGGTATTTCAAGATAATGGGAGAAGGACTTTAGGATGTTCTCAAGTAACAGGATGAGCTACAGAATAAGCCCCAACTCACCTCAGGAGGGGCTTCGAGAAGTACTGGAAAAGCAACTTTTAATATTCTTTTTAACCCTTAGGGCACCATATGCTGTGTCCACATCACATTGTCCAAGGCGCTGAGAGAGCTATAGACATGAATAAAATATGGAGCCCTTCCCTTGTGCACCATCACAGATACCCTTGTTCCTGTAACACAGCAGTCAAAGCCCTGGGATTCCTACCCTGCTTTTGTCACTGACTATCCCTGGGCCCCTGAGAAAATCACTTAGCCCCTCTAAGCCTCAGTTTCCTCCCCAGAGAAATCATTAGGTAAATGGCCTCTGAGGTCCTGTACATCCATGAGGACCCAGGAGTTTAAGGGTACTTAAGGTCACATGGATAGTATTTGAATCCAGGACCTCTGACTCCTGACTTTTCATTGTTCCATGCTGCCTCTAAGGTTGCCCTAACAATTTTTATTTTTATTTTTTATTATCATTATTATTATTATTTTCAAAAAGCTGGGACAATTTTTTCACCCTGTGCATTTTTTATATTTTCTTGAAAAATATGGAAAACAAGCTTTTAAAAAGTTTGTGTTTCTTAGGTGGCACAGTGGATAGAGCACCGGCCATGGAGTCAGGAAGACCTGAGTTCAAATCCGGCCTCAGAGACATAGCACTTACTAGCTGTGTGACCCTGGGCAAGTCACTTAACCCCATTGCCTAGCTTTCCCCAAAAAAGGTTTGCGTTTCAAACAGAGCTACTTGACTATGCTTTTATTTTTTTGTTTTTTGTTTTTTTGACAATTCCAAATCCTTTATATGGTTGAGACCTCCTAAATCATATTCTTTTTTTTTATTTGTTTTTTGCTAGGCAATGAGGTTAAGTGACTTGCCCAGGGTCACACAGTTAGTAAGTGTCAAGTGTCTGGTCTGAAACCGGATTTGAATTTAGTTGACTATACTTTTAAATCCAAATCACTCTGGCTGTCATTGAATGGCCAATAATAGCCCCCAGTCCAAGATTCTGAGCCTCATTGTTTAGGTTTTGATGGCTTAGAATGAATGTAAATAGCAATTATTTTTTGTTCTGGCCTGAAACTTCTCCTTCCTGTTGGATACTTGTGATGGTAAACTAGGCCATCTTTGTCTCAATTCTTGCACTTAGTCCTTGAATGGCCATTGCCTCTGACACACAGAGACCTGGGAAACACCTCAGTTTAGAAAGTCACTCATTGAATCCCAGGCCATCAACAGTCATCTTGACTTTTGCTGTGCCACTGGATTTCTATGACTCTGGAGGAGAGACTTTGCACAGCTCTGTCTCACTTAAATACTTTCACGTGCAAGTCATCACCCTTGTAATGTCTTTGGACCTCTTCCCTAAGGAAGGTAATAAGAACAAGAAGAGGAACTATCAAATAACATGATGTGTAGTTTGTAAAGCTGTGCTGTCGTTCAGTCATTTCAGACTCTTGGTGACCACATGGGGAGTTTTCTTGGCAAAGATACTGGAGGGGTTTGCCATTTCCTTCTCCAGCTCATTTTGCAGATGAGAAAACTGAGGCAAACAGCATGAAGTGACTTGCCCAGGGTCATACTGCTAGTAAAGTGTCTAAGGCCAGATTTGAACTCAGAAAGATGAGTCTTCCTAACTCCAGTCTAGCACTCTGTGCACTATGGCACCACCTAGCTGCCCCTGTAATACTATAGCTCTGGGTAAACATTAATGCCAGCCCGCCCCAAGGAGAAGTCACAGTTTTCCTTGCCTAAGGAATAAGTGAAGCTTAACATTACAGTGTTTCTATTTTTCTTCTTTCTCTTCTCTATTCTGTTGTTACTACTCAGGACAAAGCCCGCAGACCATGCGGACGGAAAGGACAAGGTCATAAGACCTTAGATTTAGAACCTTAAGAGACTGTAGAGGTCATTGAATTCAACTTCTGCATTTTACAGATGAAGAAACTGAGACCCACAGAGACTTGCCCAGGGTCACACAGACAGTATCTTTTGATCCTCCTGGCCCCATTGAACCCTTCCTTGCAAGGAAGAAAATTTAAACAAAACTGACCAACCAAATAACTGCGTCTGACAGAGTAGGAAGCATTCTGTCTCCATAGCGTCCCCTCCCCGAAGTAGGAAATTTACAAAGCTGCTCTGAAGCTCTTGGTGAACACTGTCTATGAGTATACATGTAGCATATGGTGTCTGAGTGTATACATTTCCCGGACTACAGTTACTTCTAATAGTTACTCTTATTCTGACTTCACCTTTGCTACATACTGAGGCAAAGGGAAGGCTTCTTTTTCCAGATGTCCAAAAGGCAACACTTTACTCTGGGACATTCTCTCCCCAGCTTCACCTCTGCTCCTGGCATCTTCTTCACATTCCAGGTTGAAAATAATAAAACACGGGCCTCCTAGTATCCAAACATCCTGAATCTGGGCCTTTGTTGTTCAAGGCCCCACCACCTCCCCAGGATGTTTCACACCGGGAACTGAGAGGTTAGGGGGAAAAATGTCTCTGTTAATTCTTAGGATCCTTGGTGTTTAGAATCAGAGGATGTTGTTGTTGGATGGGACTTCAGAAATCATTTTGTCCAGTATTCTTATTTCGCAGAAAATGAAACTGAGGCCCACAGAGGAATTCATAGACTTGAAGGATCATAGATTTCTACCTTGAAG